TGTGATATCTGCATCCGCATCCACGTCCGCATCTGCATCTGCATCCGCATCCGCATCTGTATCCACATTCGTGTCCGCATCTGTATCCGCATCCATACCCATGCCTATGCCCGCATTCACATCTGTCCCCTAATTCCATATTTACCTGCTACAGTATATAGAAAAATGATCACCTGTACAATAACTTTCTTCATCTTTTTCAATCATTATTTACCTATGCTCATGTTTAAATCTGGGTGATAGAAGACTTGACTAACTCTGTCGTAACTAGGTATCATTGATATTGAAGGTGCACTGGTGCCAGATGCTAGATACACTAGATCAGATGTGGCTGTAGTATCCGCATCCATATTTGCATCCGCATCCGCATCCGCATCCACATCCGCATCCGCATCCGCACCCGCATCTGCATCTGTATTCATATTCCCATCTGCAATCTACATCTATATCTACATTTACATCCGCATTTACATCCATATCCACATCCGCATCTACATCCACTTTGTATTCACATATGCATCTGCACTTATACCTGCATCCACATCTGCCTCTAGCTCCTTATCTTATATATGTAGCTTCACAATATTGGAGATTGCTGTCATCTCCCAAACTGGTTTACCACTTCTGTTAGCTTGAGTAGTTTTTTAACTCTAAATGGGACAATAAAAGTCTTCATTGTAGGGTATAGACCTTACTCTTAGTTTTATATCAATATTTGGCTGGGTTCCATAAATCTGCTCCTGTAATCATACACTTGAGACTGCCTGCATTACTAGTACATTATTAGTACTGGTTGTATATATTTTCGTCCTAGTGTTTTACTGACTGCATCTGATCGCAGCCTCCGCACCTTCGCATCCATCCATCCGCTCTGCGGGGGCAAGTCCATCTTGAGCCTCCTGGAAGCCGCCTCTGATCTGCGGATGCCGGCTGCCGCCATCCGCCTCCACAATTAACGGTTAACGACCGCGAATCTCGGGCCTAACAAGGCTTTTAATTACCGGGGTTTCCGGCCCTAGCTAGCTAAATGGGGTCAGTCCTTGCACATGAAAGTGCACTTGGCTGGGGATGTGAGTTCACTGCCGATTCTGTGCAATGTGGCCTTACTCAATACTGTCGGGGGTTTGGAGTTGCAGCCAGAAGGAGTTTGAGAGCTGTCGATTGAAGCTGCGAGCCAAGCGAAGGGTACACCATTGATGCCAATATGGTGCCTGTACTCAGAAGCACCAGCCGCCTCTGTCAATTTTGCATTGTCTTTGCATAATTGAGCAGCTCAGTGCATGTATCCAGTAACTATTAGGGTTTAGCCCTAAGACACTATGATGGACCCCTCGAGGCCGCCACTAGACAGGTGAGGACGATCCTATGCCGCTCTGTCCCTCGTAGAAACACAGCAGCGGATGCCGCCAGGCATTGTTGAGAACGGAGAAGCGGATCCGTGCGGAGTCCAGCCCTAAGGCCGGCTGAAGAGCAGCTGTAAGCCAGGTGCCGGAGGTAGTGGCCGAAGGTTGCCGGAAGGGTTTAAAACGTACTGTTTCTGTCTATATATGGTAACTGTATACGTACTAGGCTATATAGCAGTAGTATAAATAGGTTTCTAGCCTTTTTTATATATGTAACGGCAGATTCGGCATGCCAGAGCTGTGCGAACCTGCCAGAATTGGCAGCTTGGCCTTCGTTCAGCCTGCCGCAGATAGCCTTTTGGCATGCCATAGATGCTGCCATTGCAGGGGTCGGCAGCCTCAACAGCCACCAGTAGGGATATTGGCATGCCAAATCATGATATACCGGCAGGTTCAGGTATGTTCGGCATCAGCGGCAGGTCATTTTTTGTGCCAATTTCGGCAGCTTTGGGGTTATTGGCACCTTTGGCATCTGCCTTTTCTGCCGGAATTTGATGCTGGATGTTTCGGTATTGGCAACTTCGGCAGCCTCCGGCAACCCCGGCATGTTCGGCACTAGCACTAGCTGCCAGCTTTGCTTGTACACACATATACCAGTTTGCGTTATCCTTGACTGTTTGGCACCCTCAGGGAGTCAAAATGACGCATTTTTCAGTGCGGATCCAGCGCTGTGCTCAGACTCTTCATAGGTGCGTTTGTTCTTGAGTTATGGGACAGACAAGTGAGGGGAAATGGCTGGAAACAGGGCTGGTTGCTGGCGCTTCGCGTTCCCACGGTCAGATCACTACGCCAGCTTACCCGGACCTGCTTCTAGGTTGTCCGAATCGATCTAGATACTTAGCGTAGCAATAGCTGCTCGCGTTCAGGCGCTACAGCCTGCGCACCCTACCACTCCTCCTCCATTCCCTCCTCCCCCCACCGCTCGCGCGCTTCCACCCCTCCTGGCCTGTAGGGCTGGTCAAAGGGGTTTTCAAGTAGCCCGAATACGATGGCGTTGTCCGCTTGACCCCGCGCGGCTTCGTTCCGGAGCTGCAACACATACACCCCCTCCTGCTCCCCCTTCCCCTCCCCAAATGGTCCCCACTGCATGCGGGCTCCCAGAGC